TTACAAGAAATGAACGGTTACAAGAAATGAACGGTTACAAGAAATGAACGGTTACAAGAAATGAACGGTTACAAGAAATGAACGGTTACAAGAAATGAACGGTTACAAGAAATGAACGGTTACAAGAAATGAACGGTTACAAGAAATGAACGGTTACAAGAAATGAGCGGTTACAAGAAATGAACGGTTACAAGAAGTGAACGGTTACAAGAAATGAACGGTTACAAGAAATGAACGGTTACAAGAAGTGAACGGTTACAAGAAGTGAACGGTTACAAGAAATGAACGGTTACAAGAAATGAACGGTTACAAGAAATGAACGGTTACAAGAAGTGAACGGTTACAAGAAATGAACGGTTACAAGAAGTGAACGGTTACAAGAAGTAGACAGGAACAGCATGAGTCTCTTTTTTTTTTTCCTCCAGAATATTTTATAATCTAGCCACGATGGCGGATGTGTAGTTGTCCACCCTTGTGTAGAGCGTTGGCAGACTACCGCACGAGTACTCAGACACCAAACCCAGGAGAGTGAATCGTCCATTGGCGTCTCTGCACGTGAGCGACCCCCCGTCGTCATACTGTAAACAGAAGGAGCCATCAAATGACGCTAGTTACGGCTTGAACCAGCGCAAACAGCGAATGGCATAATGTTTAAACTAGTTTTTGGTGTGGAATTTTTGAACTCAAATTTCAGCTTTTTTTTTTAAACCACACAAAACATGGAAACATCTTTATCCCGCAAGGCCTTCCACTTCCAAGCTACGGTTGTAACAGGTTTTAAGCCAAGGAAAAGGACATCGACATTTCACTATTAAACTTTAAAACCCAAGTTGTTCAATTCCTTTGAACATCCCGAGCTGCTCAGCTCTGCGAGCAATTGTTGGCAGACTTTTCTTTGCTGGCATAATGTTAACGCAGCGGGACCGCACAGCACGTGAGTGAAGTAGCGCGTGAGTGAGGTAGCGCGTGAGTGAAGTAGCGCGTGAGTGAAGTAGCGCGTGAGTGAAGTAGCGCGTGAGTGAAGTAGCGCGTGAGTGAAGTAGCGCATGAGTGAAGTAGAACTATTTCGACATTTTCGTCTACCGACTTCACCGACAAATCCTTCAGACGCCCAACTCTGGACAGGGTGGTTGAAATCATCAGCAGTGCCGGATGAACACTCAACGAAAAAAATGAGTCACGTGCCTAGGGCCCCCCCCCCCCCGCGACCAGGGATCAGTTTAATTATTTTTTTTTATGGGGGGGGGGCCCTTTCCAAAGAAAACATTTTTAAAAAAAGAGTTCCGTGCCCAGGGCCCCCCCCCCCCCGCGACAATGGATCAGTTTAATTATTTTTTATTATGGGGGGGGGGGCCTCTTTCAAAGACAAACATTTTAAAAAGCGAGCACATTTAACACAAAACATCTGAAAGTATTTCTTACGTGCAATAACCAAGATGCACGTGCCAAGCAACTTCACTCAGCTAGTGACAATGTTGACGTTTAAGTTTAAGAGTGATTACTTCAGTCTGATAGTGTCTTTTGGTTGGAGAAAGTCTGATAGTGTCTTTTGGTTGGAGAAAGTCTGATAGTGTCTTTTGGTTGGAGAAAGTCTGATAGTGTCTTTTGTTGGGAGAAAGTCTGATTAGTTTCTTTTTTTTTGTTGTTCCTCATACTCCTAACTTGATTAGTTTAATACTACATTTTGTACATGTGAATATTTAGTATTCTCTCTCTCTCTCTCTCGTCTATACTAATAATTATGAACATCTATATGTATGTGTGAGATAGGGGCACGGAGTTAACAACTGCCTTTTCTCCTCTACGGGGCTTAATCCATCACTGTTAAAATTTTAATGGTTGTTATTGTGTGCCTCACATATCCCCCCAAAAAGCCATCGAAGCACATACGACTTAAGTTTAAGACGGTATTAGTTAGAGCGTACGTGTCGCAATGTTGTTTTTAAGTCGACATATCGTCTTTAATTATTGAAATTTATTTTAAATTTTTTCTTAAAATGAACTTTGCACACACACACAAGTTGTTTCGGTCGTAAGCACAAGTTGTGTCGGTCGTAGGCACAAGTTGTGCCGGTCGTAAGCACAAGTTGTGCCGGTCGTAGGCACAAGTTGTGTCGGTCGTAAGCACAAGTTGTGCCGGTCGTAGGCACAAGTTGTGTCGGTCGTAAGCACAAGTTGTGCCGGTCGTAGGCACAAGTTGTGCCGGTCGTAGGCACAAGTTGTGCCGGTCGTAAGCACAAGTTGTGTCGGTCGTAAGCACAAGTTGTGCCGGTCGTAGGCACAAGTTGTGTCGGTCGTAAGCACAAGTTGTGTCGGTCGTAGGCACAAGTTGTGTCGGTCGTAGGCACAAGTTGTGTCGGTCGTAAGCACAAGTTGTGTCGGTCGTAAGCACAAGTTGTGTCGGTCGTAAGCACAAGTTGTGCCGGTCGTAAGCACAAGTTGTGTCGGTCGTAAGCACAAGTTGTGCCGGTCGTAGGCACAAGTTGTGTCGGTCGTAAGCACAAGTTGTGTCGGTCGTAAGCTATAATTTACAATCAAAATTCATTGCAAGAAGCGCCGCACCGGTGCCAGAATAGTTTTCGTTGACTTACCAGACAAGCGTCGGTCCGTCTGGCTGCAGTGTCTGTACAAATCATGTCGGAAGGAATCTCATCAAATCTCCCGCTAATCGAAGACACGATGGCGTTGCAGGTGCCTAGATCCAACAGTCGAACAGGGGCGATTCTCAGTCGGGAGCTCACTAAAGGAATGGGAATAGAATAGAATCACATTCGTAAATTAAACCTAATCTCTTGCCGCAAACGTCCACGTATCGATACCCAGTCTAAGCTTTGCTCCAACAAATCGAATACATGGATAAGACATCCCGATACCGTTCGCCACGACAACGAATACGAACTTCTTTTTTGCTCAAGTAGCTCAACAGCTTCGTGGGGTCTAGGGGTAAATTAGTAATACCACGATCGATATTTGATATGGTTTATTAATTCTAAAACAAACTCACGCCTCCTCCCCCCCCCCCCTTTTTCTCTCTGCACCTCCCCAACTACCGAAACTATAACAAGAAACACGTCACACCTCTCACCAGGGACGACATTTGGGTAGGGCAGAGAGGAGTATTTGCCCCCCCCCCCC